TAGGAGATACTTGAAGCTTCTCTGTTAGTATTGATCACGGAGTGCATCTCTTCCAAGTAATGGCGCCATTTGGGCACTGCATGCAAGACTGTGCCATTTGGTCATTGATAAATTGATAAGAAGGGAGAGGATCATGGTTAATTGGTGTTGTTTATGTAAGAGAGTGGAAGAGACCTCTAATCACATTCTTCTTTGTTGCTCCATAGTGTATAGCTTATGGACATTAGGTTATGGGATTTTGGGGTATAGCTGGATTATGGAGAGAAATGTAAGGGATGAAATTTGGGTTTGGAAGGGTATTACTGGTCGGAGAAAATATTTGAGGCTCATTTCATTGGCAATATTTTGAGTTATTTGGAAAGATAGGAACATGGGAACATTTGACGAGGTGAAGGAGGATATGGATAAGATTAGAGCGAGATGATTTCAAATCCTAAGTTTTTTTGTAATGGGTTAGTTACTATGGAGGATTTTGGTCATTTAATAAATATTTTAACGGATTTGTAAATACTTTTGCACATAAGTTTGCACCCCCTTAATGTGTACAGTCAATGGATTTATACTTTTTATTTAAAAAAAAAGCAGTGGATTGTCCTCCTTGCATCGGAACGACTTCAATTCCTTTTCTACTAGCATTAGCATCCACTATGAGCGGTTCGTAGGAAGTTTGAGCACTGGACTGCCACTCATGGTTGACTTAAGTTGCTAGAAGGCTTATGTGGTCCCTGCCATCCAATGGAAAGCATTTTCTTGAGCAAATGTGTCAGAGGCTTGATGATCACTCTGTAATTTCTAATGAACTTTTAGTAATAACCCGTAAATAAAAAAATCCTCACAAAGCCTTCATTGGTTTGGTTGGGGCCTGTTAACATTACTTCTATCTTCTTCCGGTGTGTCCTGATCCCTTAGTAAGAGATTGCATGGCCCAAGTATTCAACTTCACGCAGAAGGAAGAAACATTTGGTCTTCTTAACATGTAACTGCTCAAAGTGGTCCTGCTTATTCCTACTATTGATTAGAATATTATCAACGAAAACCAACACAAATTTCTGTAAATACTTTCTCAAAGTATGATTTATAAGCGCTTGAAAGATTGCTGGTACAATTTGTAGCCCAAATTGCATCACTTAGAACTCATAAAATCATGAGTTTGGAAAGCCGTTTGATGAATGTCTTTCTCTCTCACCCTAATCTGGTGGCAATCAGCTCTTAAATCAATATTGGAGAATACTATAGGTCTGCATAATTTATCCAGTAGGTCACCAATGATAAGAATAGGAAACTCGTCCTTGACTGTGAGAGAGTTGAGTTCATGGTATTCGATGCAGAACCTCCAAGTCTCGTCCTTCTTCTTGACTAGCAATACTGGATAAGAGAAAAGGCTGTTGCTTGGTCGGATGATGTAGCCATCCAGCATTTTGGATACTTGGCGTTCTATCTCATTCTTTTGAAAATAGCCATGACAGTATGACCTAACATTGATTGCTGGTGGCCCTTGACCAAGGGTGTGGCATAATTGCAGGCCCTGAGAGGGGGAATGTCCTCAGGTTCCTAGAAGACATCCCTGTATTTGGCCAATATTTCTCTGAGCTGTCAATATATTCTAGCTCAGGTTCCTAGAGACTGTAATATCTTCTATATGTTGCTTTTGCTTGAGTAGTTTCTATGTTTTGTTCCCAGAGAGGCCCATCAATATGTTATTTCCTTCTGCTCCATTCAAGAAAATCTTTATGTCTTCATAATTGAATTTCACTGTTGATCTAACAGAGTCAAATACCATGGGGCTGTATCGTTTTATCCAATCAACACCTGATATCATTATATTGTAATCTCAAGCTCTGTGACTCTGAAGTTGTAACAGCTGTAGCTCTACATAAACCATGTAACTTCCAAGCATTTATCCCTGCTAAATATTTTCTAGCCATTAGGTACTATCACTATGAGTACTTCATCATTTGTGATCCTTTGTTTATCAGACTTTGGGATGTTCACATCAAGTAATGAACGGGAACTACCACTATCCAACAAGTTAATGATGTTTTTCCCTTCTAGTATCCTTTTTGATCTTGAGGAGGCCTCCCACAGCGACACCTTCCATAGCTTGCAATGACAAGGTGCCAGTGTCTTCTTTTTCCCTACGCTGCCCCGAATTGTCTGGTACCATTAACCATCATCATCAACTTCCACAATTTATCCTATTGCCATAACAATCTTGGCTTTACAATGGTACCTCAGGAAGTACCGGTCACCCCAATGAAAACAAGCAACTGAACTTTTTTAACACCCACTTCTCGTTGATTTAGGGCCCGTGGTTTGTTGTCTACCTTTCTCCTTAATATTGTCTCGACAGCTCACTGGGGATCCATTATAGGGTGAGTAGGAAGAACTACGCCCTTGAAGTGTTGGCTCTTTGCAATCTTAATTATTGACTGCTCTTGCAACAGGGCATGCTTGAATGCTTGGTTTACGATCCGAGGCTTTAACAGCCTAATTATCAGCCTTGTATCAATCATCATAAGAGCTCGTAAATGCTCAAACTGTTCTTGGTACTCCAAAACTGTTCCTACTTGGACAATTTTGTTGAGTTATTCTGTAACATCTCTTTGTTCTGCCCACCCCAAATATCGTACACAATTTCTCCATAAAGATGTCCTGTTCTAAATCAGCATTGTTAGCAAGCCATCTTTAGTCCAAGCATCGGCGAGCTCGCTAGACAGAGACCAGTTTCATCTTTGTTTGTCGAGTCATCATATAGAATATTGAGCATCGACCACAGCTCTCGGGTAAACTCAATAATA